GGCAGGCAATGCCACGTTGCAGGGGGGGAAAAAGAAGATAAAGCTCTACACTGACAGCACTTTACAGGATCAAAAAGCCACCGAGATGCAAGAGGCAACAGAAAAGGCGTTGAAACCCAAACAGGTAAACAAGATACACTGCAGACCTTCCCGAGAGCTCGTGCAGCCCTACTGAGAGGTCTGCCTTCCAAGTGAGCTGATTTAATGCAGACGGAGAGTGCTCAAATATTATCACTTTCAACAGCTCAGGGGACCAGGAAGGACAGCATCTCACCCCTGGAAGCCAGGCTGATTGGGTACCGCCTGCTTCCCAGCCAGGGTAAACACGGGATTGCTGCGGCTCTAGGCTGGCCAGTAAAAACATCCCATGCTGAAAGGTGTGATAAGAGGCTGGCCAGGATAGAGAACGGCCTGCCTCTAAAACAAACATGTCTGTATTTCTTTCCAGAAAAGAAAAAGTGATACCATTAAGATCAGACACGGAGATTTCAAGAGGACGAATGACACCACTGAATATCGCCGTGGAGCAACTTCATTTACTCTGGGTTATTTTCATGTTGTTTTCATCAGACTGCCTCGTCGGAAGCCCTCCAGACCGCCTCCAGAGTCACCCCAGTCAGATGCTACACAGCTCCATTTTGGGGAGCTATTTCTTGAGAAGGTACCATCATCTCAAATACCAGGATAGCTTCTTCTATAGGTGACAGATGAGGAAAAAATGATTCACCGATTAACCATTATGTGTCTTTCCCAAAGCTGTCTTTGAAGCCGCCGCCAGCCTCCCATCCCATCGTTCCAATCCAGCACAAATGTTGACTGATCAGCACAAAAGTTAACGGCCCAGCGTGCTTTTAACAGTGAAAGAGAAGATGAGAATCCAGACAATTAGGTTTCCACCAGAAATGTGTCAAATAAAGTATTTACCAAGAAAAATCATTGACAGTAGTCTGTAAGAATAAAGGTCATCCCGGCAGAAGAGGATGTCCAGGGGTTACTTCTGCCCTGAGCGCAAAACGTAAATCACTTGGGAAGGAAAATAATTTGAGGTTGCCAATGCAAAGGAATGCTCCCAGTTCAGCTGGGCTTTGCTGGCTGAGAAGACAATAGAACAATTAACACTTTATGAGGTGAGGCTAAGCAGCATGAAGAGTGATTTATCCACTTTATTTCACATTCTTCCCTGTTGCTTGTAATTAGCTCACTCCAAAATAAAGAGCTTGGGTTGGCGTCCTCCTTTAACTTCAGGTAGCAGAGCCATAATTTGTGTATCCTTGGCCATCCCTCGTTTGCTGTCATGCAGCCCATCCCCACTGCTCTGCCAACACACAGAAGGCAAGCGTCTGGCCCCAGGTGTTCAGGATTTCAGACATTTATTTAAAATGTGACAGGCCCATTAGACATGGGAAAATCATATAAGGGGCTTCTTTGAGCTGCCACTAAAAATGTATTTTGAGAAAAGACATTTTAAAGGTTCAAAATAAGGGTCAGAAATTTATTAAGTTTCAAAAGCTCTTCCTTATTGTTTTAATCTGGTTTTACAGTTTGGTTCTTTGCTTCTAGGTTCCAAATAGAGGCACATACCAAAACATCACCATAAAGCTAAAATATCCAGAGATAACAGTTCAACAGCCAACTCATTTAGAATTTAAAAGAATTAAAATAAAATCAGGATTGCTTTGAAATACCAGTGAAAACTGTGACACAGACAACTCACACTTTGCTAATCAACAGAAAAATCCTGGATTTTATTTATTTTTTTTTCTGTAACTCAATTTATCATTTCCAAATGGCTCCAACACTCTCATGCTTTACATGATTGTCCAAACTGCAATTATTAGAGGTTTACCCACAGCTGATTTTTAAACAGAGACTGTAATTTCCTAATTTCTCTGACTAACAGCTGCCTCTTATCTGATCAGAGCATCCTTTTCCCCAGAAAAGGGACACGACTTCTCACATCAAGGACCTCTTAATCCGGGGAGTGAGCTGCGACCCACAGCAATGGTCACAGCATCTCCTCCTGCCCCATTTGCCCACAGCGCCCCGAGGGCACAGCACTCTGAGATGACAGCACCCCGAGATGACAGCACCCCAAAGGTACAGCACCCCGAGGGCACAGAACCCTGCCCCAAGCACGCCGGTGACACAAGCTGCTCTTGTCCTTCGCTGCATCACACAGGTTCTGCAAAAAGAGAAGCTGGTCCTCAGCTGCCACAGGTTTTTAGGACCCAAAGCACCAACTCTGGGTCCCTCGTCCAAGGGGGGTAACATCAGTGCAACTGGAGATGTATTTTCTTCCCTTCCAAAATAAGCCAGTCATTTCCCTTTTAAAAAAAATATTAGGGCGTCTCAGAAATGCGGGCTTTATTTTCAAAGCTGCAACCAATTATAATTGCAGGAATTGCTAAACATTTCCAAATGTGAAAGTGGTTTTTACCTCTCAGGTTCTGTACAGAAAGATGCCTGACTTTTATTTTATTCATTTGTATGAGAGAAGCTATGATGAAAAAATTGCAGGGACAATTCAAGGGCTATTTATTTCCTAGAAAACCCCATAACATGCAAACACACAGCTAAGCAGCAGCGCAGGATCATGTACATCTCTGAGAATTAGCCAAGCTCTAATCCCTCAGGGGTCAAAGGATGAGAGGGAAGCAGCATTTTAAGTAACATGTTTAGACTGCAGTTAGGAGAGTGTCACAGGGAGATAAATAATTTGGACACACCTTACTATTGTGTCTGCAGCGTGACTATTTTAGAAACATAAAGCAAAAAATCCAAACAAACTGAAAATTATTTTTATGCTAAGCAGCATCCTCTTCTCCTTACTTAAAATGTGGAATTTAAACCGTTAACACTAAACTGGCCCAGCGGGTCGAAGCCAGGTCGCCCCGTTTCCCAGCATCACCCCATTTGCTGCACGGAGCGTGGAGCAGGAGCGGGGCCAGCCCCACGCTGCCGGCCGGGGCTCTGAGAGGCTCCACGGTGCTAAACACAAGTCCAGCGGCACAAAGCTCAGCCCGGGGAGACTCACAACCCCCCCTGCACCTCTGCAGGGGCACGGCGGCTCCAACCTGCTCGCATCACCTTGCTGAAGAGAAGCAGAGTGCCACGACTGTGGGACAGAGCACCCCGTATTTCTAGCGCGGGGCGTTAACTCTGCATGACACCGTTGCAAACGCCACGGAGAGAAGGGCCACCAGCCCAGGAGAGATGTCCCACCTCGCTGTGAGCAGAGATGAAAGCTTGCTGGTGACAGGAGGCACCTGCGGCCCCGACAGACACGACTCGGGGAGGCTCCAGGAGGGGTTTGGTGCCCTGTGTCAGAGGGGTCCGTGCCACCTCTCCGCTTGACAACACCCAGGCTGCACTGAGATCACGGGGCTGGTGGTTGCCGAAGGGAGCCTGCATCTCTGGGAGCAGCTCCAGTTTGGGTGCCCTGCCGCAAAGAGCTGCAGCCGGGCCCATGATCTGTACGCCCGGGAGCTGGGAGCTTTTGGCTTCTTCTTACCAGGGCAATTGCTTTATTGCCTGACTGAGAACTTGTGCCGCCACTGGAACACGGGGCGGGGGACTCGTAACCATCACACACAAACCACTGTCCCAGGCGAGTCCACAGAAAGTCCCAAACTGTAATAAACACAGCTCCAACTCCAGTTAACAACACTTATTAAAGAAAGAACAAGGAATGAGTAGAGCCTAAAGCCAACAGCATGAAGGAGGGTTTGGCCAATCTACAGTTCATATCTGACAGATAATTTCTTTAAAGGCATCATCTAAATGTGACTTAAGGGCCTTTTAAGCACTTCTCAATTGACACTTGTAACAACAATTAAAGTTCCTTCAAACAGATGCACCGTGAAAAATGCACAAGAGCAGGCTGGCTCAGGAGCTGCAGCCCAGCTCTGCCGCAGAGCCGCTGGTTGTGTGTCTCCTCATATCTGCCCTCTTAAAATCCAATGTTAAGATACGCACGTTCCCTGAACTGATAACTCCCACGGTCACCTTTGCACCCTCGGTTCTGATTACTCTGGGGTTGGAGGGTTTCAGGCTTTGCAGAAAATGCTCCCCTCCAGCCCTTCTCGGGGGAGAAAGCCCAGCTCCTGCTGAGGACTATTCCAACACCAGCCCCCCTCCCTCCATACACCTCCTTCTGTTTCTGAAAGAGCAAGGAACCACATGTCTCTGAAGAAAGAGATAAACACTTATGAATGGTACAGAAAAAAAAAGTCTTATTATTTAATTTTCTGTTATAAATCAGTATTGTCTAGAGATAATTTCAGTCATTGTTGCTGCCCTGTACCTTGCAGACGTAGCAGTTAGAGGGAAGAAAGGGACAGCCGCTTCTCTACAACAGTACGAGGCACATTTTCTCTGGCCGTATACGCGGCATGGAAAACCATTCCAGCTTTTAGCAGTTGTTTGCTATAGACTATCGTGTTACCAAATCAGAACATCTCTGACTTACCAAACACAGGAAACCCAATAACCTTCAAGAGAGAATTTGTATATTGCACGAAGGTTAATTAAATAAAGCTTAGCAGCCCCAAAATAAAGCCTAGCCAGAGTTACAGCTGATCCAGCTAGTCAGAGCTTAACTATTTTCCCTCTGATGTGGCAACCCATTGCCACGCTCCCCCAGGCTGAGCTTCACTCCACAGGCCATGACCTCAGGATTTCTTTGTTTGACCCAACTTTAATCAGCTTCCTTCTCCGATTCCAGCAAATCCCTTTGCTGATGGAAGCCAAGAATAAAGGCTATTGTACAGTACGGAGCTATGTTTCACAGCAAGTCATGATAAGCATTTCCTTTCCAAACATCCAAGTTCCCCAAACAGTACAAACAGTGGCCAAAAAAAGTAGAGAGCAGATTATTGAGTTTTGCAGATAAAACAATGGCTAGGATTAAAAAAAAAAAAAAAATATTGGGGCATCCCTCGCTCTTTATCCTCTCCACTTCCGACTCAAAATTAAAGGAAGAATTTGAAAAGATTGCTTACCATACTGACAGCGAGGTCCTTGGAAACCAGAGGAGCAATGGCAGAGCTGTGAAGATCCTTCTACGCAATTTCCACCATTGAAACAAACCCCAAAACTGCAGACAGCTGCAAGGAGGAGGGAGAGAATAATTCCTGAGATCATGATCAGAAGTGTACATGCACTAATAAATACCCATGCCCTGATAAATTTCCCACAGCCCTGTAGCAAACATGCATAGTTACAAAAATACTGTTGAATCATTTTTGAAAGGTAACACTTTTTTGGTTGACAATACCCAAAGAGTACAGAGTCTCCCAAAATTCAGGATAGGAAGTAAAATACCTCAGGCAATGTCTAAGGACTTTTCTTAAATTGCGGATCAGTGAGAATTCACAGGAAAACACCAGCAGAGCTGCAGGATTGTTGGTGAAATAATGCTTTTCCAGCCAACAAGTGGGTAAAATAGTCAGCAAATGGCCCGTGCAGAATCATATCAGATCTTGTGGCAACAAAGATAAGTTATTTATTTTGGAATTGGAGGCATCTTTCAGGAACAAACCCCTAAGAAGCTGCCTCCCACCTCTCCGCGGAGCTTTCCTGGAGAGCTGGCTGCCCAAACGTGGCATCACCTTCTGAAAGGACGAGAGGATGAAACAGAGCTAAACTGTAAGTGAGCCCGAGCAGCCACACTTCTCTGTTCTCACCAAGCGAAGTGTGAAATGTACACAGAGACAGAGAATGCTCAATTAGGCTTCTGAAATCCACCTTTTCAAACCATCTAAATGAAACCACAAACAAGGATGTGTTTTTCTAGTGGAACATACATTTCTTGTAACTCACGAAATGCCAGCATTTTTTATTTCCCACTAGAAAATGCTCATCTCAAAAGGAGAAATGTTGTTAACAAATGATGCTGTCATGTGTGCCGTGCTTTGTCAAAGTGTAAGGACGCAGAACAAGCACCCATCTTCCTTTTTAAGTCCATTTAAAGATTCAGACAATGACATTTTCTCTCTCCTCACTGATCTGGACATAGCTGCGTTGCCAGCCAATTTCTCTTTTCTTTCTTTTTCCTGCACCTCCACTTTTTCTTTTCTTTTTCACTTTCATTGAACAAACTGTAACAAAAGCCAAGAACAATGGGTAGGAACACATTTCACAAAAGCCATGGCAAACCAGATGAGGAGCAAAAAGAGCTTCGCCTGCCTCCGTGGTGCGAGGGATGTGGCAGTGGCACCTGGTCCAGCAGTTCCCACTGGCTACCCCGGGACCCCAGCTCAGACCAGCACGGGCTGCGGGCAGCCCTGGGCCAAGAGCAGCAACGGGGACCAGTGCGTTGCAGCTTACGCGTCCCGGGAAGGAACGCACTGCCGCTGCCACTTGTGTCACGGCCACCCGTGTTAGGGGCTCTCACGATCCACTCGACGGATCCAGAGAACGTAATTATTTCAAGTAGGTGAAAGTACCAAAGACAGACCTGGCAATCCAAAACGCGCGGGCTCAGAAGTGCAGATGTACTAGAGAGCGAGCAGACGGAGGGGCTGCCGGGGCCAAGCGCGGCCGCCACGGCGATTCGCGGTGGATCGTGTGCCGGCCAGACCGGGCTGCTGCCCCACACTGAAGCGACTGGCCAGCAGAATAAGGGAGCTGTCAGCCTGCAAACATACACTGCATCCTCAGGAAGATGCCAAGCTTCCTCTGCTGGAGCAAAGATGAGACTTTTCTGTGGCTTTAGTGGAAATAATAAGGGGAAAAATGAGTGCCACGTTTTCCTCCCGTTAGGAGAGCTAGGGGCTATTCCAATCCTAAGGTGCACATGGGGGTAGCAGAGCTGCTGGTTCGTGTACGTTGATCACAAGCAGTGATCCCACTCAACAGAATTCACCCCAGCTAGGTGCAGCTGGCTTTGCCGATGTACACATGCACATGGCAATTCATCATACCTGAGAAAAGCACCTTCCAGAATAATATCAGAACAGGCCTCTCCTCAAAAATTCAGCAGTCACACTCTCTTTTCAAAAATTGGACTGCATAGGTCAGGGTAAAGAGTGTTTTCAAGGATTTCCCTTTGTAAAGAAAAGGTCCAAGACGTTTCAGACCAACTGCCGAGTCCTGCGTGCTCCTGGACGCTCGCGTGACGTGTCTGCAGCTCCTCACGCTGAATTCCCACCACGTGGGAAAACATCACAGCAACATCTCCTGCGTTAACGTTACCTGGGCTCATGAGTGCAGACAGACTAAATAAATGAATGAATAAATGAATAGATAAAAACTCCTGGAAAGGCCATTTTTTCTTCTCTAAAGCTGGAAGGCTGCCAGTTCTGCGTGTCCTCACTGCCATAAGGAAAAAGCTGGAGAATTAAATACCTCCCCAGCAGGTACAGCCTGGGAACCAACAGTCAGCTACCCAAACGCATCCAGAGAGGTCCCCAAGAGCCACCGGTGGCAGTGGACAGGGGGCACCCAGAGAAGTCCCCAACCAGAGGGCTCGGGACCCCGCTCAAGGCCAGCGATGAAATGGCCCCTTTGGAGTTACCGACCGACCATACAAAGCCTGTGATTAAATTACAAACCTACGTATGATACGGGACCACCTGGAAACAATTATAACAGCAGCAACTGGACTGAGGTTTCCACACGCATGCTGTCTATAACTTTTCCCTCCTATTTGCAACTTTGGAGCCCCCTTGGTTTCTTTTCCCATTCCAGCTAAAGCTGTAACTAATTAGTAACAGAAAAAGCAGGTCTGTGATTGCACATTTCATTTTGTGTCAGTATAACTGGGGAGGAAAAGCACCCTGTGCAGCTTCAGAACTGGCTCCAAATACTTGGCACAAAATATTCTGTGCCTACTCCAAAACACCAATTGTGCATTCAGAAGAAAAAGGGATCACAGATGGAAACAGTGCAAGGAAGCGTTTGCATTTTTGGGGCACATTGGCAGGACATTTTGTGCACACAAGATAAATTTGCAAAATTACCAACACATTTTCAGAGATAATTTAGAACTTCAAGACATACGTGCAAAATCAGAGATGGGAAAGAGCAGGTACTACCTGCACAAAAGAAACGCAAAGCTTGTGGGTGTCAGCTTGCCATGCCTGAAAAAATCCTTCTCTCCTGATTACAGGTCTGCTAGCTGTTGCACTAATGGGAGGCACATTTTGGTGATACCAGCATCTCCTATAATCAGAAGAGATTACCTGGCCACTCAAGGCAGGTCCCTTTTCTCTCCCCCCTTCATCTCCAGCCTCCTCTCTGCTAAGTAATGATGCTGATGTCATTAGTGCAGTGCAGACTCATGTCCTCAAAACTCCTAAATGCTGAAAGGTTTCATCAGCTGCACAAAGTTCATTAACAACTCCCTCTGCCTCCTGAAGATAGTCTGGAGAGGGCCAAATCAGCACGTTGTTTTGGGGCTCGGTGGAAGTCAAATTGCTGGGTCAAATCCTGGTGGTGGCCAACCCCTGAGTGCTACACTGCCAGGTATTTACATAACTCTTATCATATTGCAATCACTTACAACCTACTCTCCATGGAAATCTAACGACCACATTACTAAGTTTCCCACTATTCTGCTCCTACCATTGAATCCTCCATAGATCAAATATTGGCTCTGTTTTTTTTCCTACAGAAACACAACTGACTTCCTAATTTCTCCTCTGTGCTAAATCTTGACACTGTCTCACACGAGGCTTCCCGCCTAGTCTGTGGTGATGAAGAAGGTTTTGTGAAGATTTAGGTGAATATGACATTCTACAAATTGGCATGTTTGCTATCAAAACACACACTATCAGTAGACAGAGCTACATACCTACTTTAAGGCCGTCTGCTCTATCACTTCTCTTACAACACAGCTGTCAGAGCGGGCTGGCTCTAGGCACGGCTGTTGGAGGCAGGAGCTCCCTTGCAGCTGACCTGGCTCCAGCTCGCCAGCCTTCAGCTCGTGCCAAGCCTCATTCCCGCTGAGATCCAAACTCCCCAAACTTTGCACCTTAGATGCACTAGAGCTGAAATACTTAAGCCTCAGGGTTGGCTCTTTTAAGAACCTGATGATTTTTCAAATCCTCCCCTCCAAAACCAAAATTCTTTAGTAAGACAAAGGTAGCATTGAAGTCCAAATACTCATTTACCCAAACTAATGAAACAGCGATGAAATGTTGTTTCAGAAAGCCAGTTATCTTCTCATCTAACGTTTTAGTCACTTTTCATAGCCATGTATCCTTGGGGACCGCAGCGATCCCGGATCAATCCCGTGCTGGCCTGCTGGTGCAGAACACGGGAACTTGGGAAACCTTTTCACCAGCACCCCGTGCCCCCGAGCCGCGCCATGCCATGCTCGTGATCGCAAACGCTTCCCCGTGCACGTCCTCCCGCGTGGCAAGGCAGAAGGAGCTCTGGGCAGCCAGCGGTTCCGTGCAACTCCCCATCCCCAGGTGTGCACCAAGATTTTCTAGGGCCAGAGTCTTAAGTTTTTGCTGGCTCTAGTCTTGCGAGGAGGGCTGTCTTCTGCATTTTCCCTTTCCTTCGGACCTCAACCCTATTAGACAGAACTGACTGAGTGGCCAAACTGCATCATCAGGTGGTTTGGTTTTCCCCAAATCCTTCACCTTTGTCGCCTAAAACTCAGACTTTAGAACTGGTCCCAGTAAAGCTCAGCCTGGCTCCACAAAGCCCTATTTGCCAGCAGTGCTCAGCCCTCGGAGGGAGTTCAGCAAGACCCAAAGCACAACAGTGGAAAATATTAGAAGCAATTGCAGCGACACAAATCAGGGATTAGAAGATAGGGGTGTTATTCTTGGCTGTGCCCCAGATTTCCCGAATGAGCCGGACAATTCTCCACTCTGTGCTTCAGGCTGGCACATACAGAGTGGAAATCATAACAACCTACTTCCCAGCCCAGTGGGGCTGAGGGGCCTGTGGGTCTCCCTCCCCTGCGCTTTCCAAGCCTTCTGCAAACTATCTCCTAATTCAGAGTGACATAATTTAATGCAATGAAACTTGGGAAAAGGGTAACAACACTGTTCTGGGAAACAGGAAAGGGTAAATTACAGAAAGCATCACCTTCTTCTGCTTGAAAGGCCAGACAGTGTCTTTTGTAATGACTGAGTAAGGTGGGATTCTT